AATTCATCTTCAACGTTACCTGAAGTGCACTGGGGACACTTTCGGTCGTGTCGAAGACTAAGTTGGTATCTACAAGATTAAGTTTGCAATTTGCGAACAGCTATTACCAATTCAAAAGTGCATTTGAATGTATCATAAGTTCGTGTATATACATATAAAGTTTTGCATCTTTATGTATGTATGTAAATATGCTAGTTGTGTTTCCCACAATGCAGTGAAGTATTCCTTAACAATATTTCAAAAAGGTCATGTCTGTGCGCGAAAAAAAAGAGGTTTGAAAAATAATGAGAAGGTCGGGTGATATTTGTATCGATATTAAGGCAATTAAATGAAGTTGTCAGTCGCTCTGAAAACAATAATTAGTCAACTTGTCAAATCAGATGTCATCTTTTGGTAGTCACTGGGAGGCGATTTCTGCTGTTGTCAATCAAAATAACGCGTTCACAGTCAAACATTATGACGCTTAATGGTGCAATAATTTGTCTTTTTCGGATTTCTTTTGATAAATCGTGTTAAAACCTCATGTTCCACGCCTGTGTCTAAACAGGGTTTATAAGTTAACTGTTTATGACGTCTTTTCACTAAAACCTATCTGATATTTTAGTCGGGGAAAACATGGTTTATTTATTAGTGTAATTGGTTTTAATCTTGCTGTCAGGGACTGTGGTTACTTTTATATCGGTACTCTGTGTTTTTTGTTGTTGTTGTGCTTCGTGTCGATCTGATAGTCAACCCCTTCTCAACTGATTTTTACATTTTGTACTAATCTTGTTCTGAAACACCACTGTCCCAAGCGGGTTGAGCGCTCTCAAACATGGTTAACTTCACATGCACATTCTTTATGTGCCAGTCCCTGGCCCAGAGCCTGTAATTACTTACATTTCGTTTATTGTTATGCATAAATCAGGCCGTTGGTTTTCTCTTTTGGATTGTTTGAAATTTTTAATGCAGGGACCTTTTATATATAGCTTACTATACGGTATAGGTCGTTTTTATTGTTGGAGGTCATAAGGTGACATATAGTACATGATCGTCCTTTTGTCTCTAGTGAATAAAGTTGTGTCATTGGCAATCATACTGTAGTTTACGATATAGAGAATGTTAAATTAGTACTTGTTTCATACTGAGACTATACTATAACACGTGTGTTAAAGTAGTCTCAGTTTCATATTATTTGAAATTTGGTTTGGACTAATTTAGGCTTTTTCGAATTCATTTTTTTTTTAAATGACTATATTTTCTTTAAAAAATTTATAAGAAAAGAAAATAGTACTGACTTAGTTCATTTTTGTTTGTGTGTTATTTTTCACAATTTTATTTGCAAATATTTAGATTTACATTTCTTCATTATCTCAATAACTACATAGCGGAACATTTAATACGTTTGTAAGAATTTACTTGAAGCCGATTGAAAGATTACAAATATTTGTAATCTCTTCAGATTATCTGTATCTTGAGTCAAACACTATAAAACCTGAAAAAAATCGTAATCTGTTCAATTAGTATTTCCCGCCAAATAAGCTTGCAACAGACAAAGATAAAGCACCTGGCAATAAAAGTTATTTATCGGATCTATTCCAAAATCCCCTGCGGAACTTAGGCCATTGTCAGTTTTTAAACAATATTTGATATAATTACAACAAAGACGTGTAAATGGTCATTACTATTACATAAGTGCCGCTTGACAGATTATAGACATCAGACGACAGATTTTATTCTTATCCGTTTTGTCAATAAAAAGGCGCGAGAATGTAAATCAAGAGACCGACAAAATATACCCGCCAGAGCTGATTATACCCTGAAGATCTGCATTATTTTTCACAACCTGTCGCCGGAAAATGCACGCACATGGTTATAAAAGTTGACCTAAAATTGCGTTCAACTCTCTCTGCAACCTTTGACTTGAACCCCGGATCACCGTGGGTAGTCGCATGTGACCTGTTGCAAGATAAATTTTTATGACATGTGGCTAACCAACCTACCCACTTTTAAAGGGGTATTAGCTACGAGATATAGAAAAAAATAAAATATGATTTTTTTTTTGTTCAATCATTAATGAAAGCGAAATAGTGAAATACTAATTCGCTTTTAGCAGCCAATTTGGTTGAATTTTGTCAAAATATGCTAATAAACATCGCTGATGAATTATTCACTTGCAAGCGAATAATTTGACCTCATTGAATCCGTATTCATGTGACCTTCAATCTAACCCCTTAGCTGGACATGGGTTACGCATGTGTTCAGCTATTAAAAGGAAAAGAATGTCAACATTGAAAGTGAACCAAGGATGAACCATTTGATTGAATGATTCGATCCACAAAAAAATCATTCTTATACATGTAAAAACGATGATCAACATACTTTATAACCTACAATATGAAATCAAACAGACTAAGAAAAATCCAATTGCACGTGGTCACTATCTGTTTATATTAATATTGATGTTTACATCGGGTTAAATGACCGTTGGCAGTGATCTATCGAATTAGACTGATCATCGGGTTTGTACCTAGATGGGCATCACGACGGGTGCTAACTGTAGAGCAGCATCAGCTAACCCTTCCTGAGATCACCCCTGGTTTTTGTTGTCTTTAGTTTTTTATGTTGTGTTTTGTATAATATAAAGCGCAACATTAAACAATATACTTGTGTTTGTCTTTTGCCATATGATCTGCATTCTGTCTGTACTCTATTAAACAGTAGTCCATATTTCTGCCGGAAATGGCCCTCTCCTAAACTATTAATAATGTCATTGAAAATTTGTTTGTGTATTTAAAAAAATACTTTTACTCCTAAAATAATGTGTAACATCAGAATAGAACTCAAGAAATATATCCCGCCATTGCATATTATTTTCTTCTTTCTATTGTAAAACCCAAGACACTACAGGATAGGGTGTAGAGGGCGTATGCCCCTATAAATAAATCATTAGATTAGATTATTTAGCATAAAATCGTCAAAATATTTGTTTGCCCAGCTCTGCATACCACCATCTATTACGTTTTATAAAAGTAAACCCCACTTTAAAAAAACATGGATCCGCCCCTAAATACATCAGAATGTTGGTTGGTATATTTTCTTTTACAAAGCATGCCAAGTTATGGAGCTTTTCAAAAAATGTACTAGAGATTTTGAATTAGTTTGTCCACCAACACCACCAATATAATGAAAACTGATTCCATTGAATGGATAATTTGTAGTGGGCAATTCAAGTTGTGAATGTTTACAACAAAAGCTACTGTATGCCTATAAGCCAAATATTTAATATACATTGTACTGTATAATACCAAATGCAAAAACTCAATTTTCCAAGGTACTGCATGTGAAAGTCTATTGTGAAACAAAAGAACAGCATGTCCACCCCATGCAAAAGGACAGGTGAAATGACAAATATTCACCCAAGTTTAGTGTATCTCACAATGTCGTCCACAGGAAGCCAAGTCACAGCTAGAAAGAATATTTTGGAGGCCAGTTCTTGTCGGTTTGTATGTAGAACCAGCAGATACCAAATTCAAAATCTTTGTTTTTACCTGGCTAGGGGGGGGGATTGATTAAGCTTGATTGACAAATGTTCAAGAAGTAATATGGTAAATGTCTTGGTTTTTAACTACTTTGAAGATAAATATTTCAATTCTGCCAAGATGATGACAATGGATTGGTGTTTAATGTCCAGTGGCAAATATTACATGCATATCAGGATGAGAATATGTTAATGTAATAAGAATACGAACCATGGTACTAGACTGGTTCACTAAAGCAGGATTTTGAACAGTCAGTTCACAATATAAAAATAAAAAGATGCGTTATGATTGCCAATGAGACAACTAACCACCAGAGACAAAATATGTAGATATAAACAACTATAATTCACCAACCTTCAACAATGAGCAACTCAAACTGTAAAAGTCCTAGAAATCACACAATGTGTAACAATTCAAACAATTTTAGTCTTGAATGCATGATTTTTTATTGGTTGTTATTGGCTTTGAACTAGCTGTCAGTAACTGCAAGTACTCTCAGATCTGTAATTAGTGTCTTTTTAGTTGTGGGGATGTATAAATACCCTGCCACGTCGGGTCTGTGTTTTTATTAGATGTATTTCTGCTCTGTATCGATCTGATGAGTTAAGCCCTTTTCAACTAATTTTTATAATTTGTTCTTATGTTGTACGGATACACCACTATCACAGGTTAGGAGGAGGGTTGGTGCCTTCAAACTAGTTTAACCCTGCAACTATCTATATGTGCCTGTCCCAAGTCAGGAGCCTGTAATTCCGTGGTTGTTGGTAATTACTTTATATCATATTTGTTTTTTGTTCATTATTTTGTACATAAGACAAGCTGCAAGTTTTCTCGTTTGAACTGTTTTACATATGTCATTTTATAGCTGACTATGCAGTATGGGTTTTGCTCATTGTTGAAGGCCATACGGTGGGTGACCTATACTTGTTAGTTTATATATCATTTGGTCTCTTGTGGAGAGTTGTCTCATTGGCAATCATACCACATCTTCTTACTTTTATAAATATATCAACAACCTGATTTAAGTACAAATAATAAACTAAAAACAAATATGATACACAGCAACCAATGGCAATACTGAACAACAGGCTCTCGTCTCTGGACAGGCACATACAGAATGTGGCAGAGTTAAACATGTTATCAAGCCCTCAACCCGCCCCCTTACCTGGTGGTGTAACAGCACAAAATAAGTCCCAACTATAAAAGCATCATATCTACACAAATAAATAGATAAAAGGCATCAGTCTACAGGAAGACGTGTGATACTATGAACATATTTTTCTGTTTCCAAGCTGACCAGCCTTTACTCTTACTCCTAAATGCTACATGCTTAGTGGAAAAGCAGCAAATACCAATTTTCATCACACCCTTTGACACTAGACAGGATTGAACCCATGAACTTCCACACTCAAGGCTACCAAGGAGGCAGTTTGATTGAGGCAGTTGACAGAAAATTGATTCATCGTACAAACACGTAAGTGCTTTTGTTTGATAAGTTATAAAATCAATAGTTTATTACAAAACATTGTATTGTATGTACAATTCAATTCTGTGTACAATTCATTAAGTACATAGAAAAATTCCTTAAAATTATAATATAAAACTTAACAATTTTGACAACAACAAATTGCATCAATCTTCAGTTATTCTCTGCACTATTAAAATAGATAAAAAGAAACTTTCTAAAAGTTCCTCTGGCACTGACAAGACATAAAATACACTCACACACATACACACATAAATAAATCATCCATATATTATACATCATGCTAAAATCGGATACATCTAATTAACAAGATAACAAATTATGGAAATTGAGCTCATTAATAAATAATAATTTCATACACAGTCTAACATCTAACATGCACACACAACTATTCTATCGCCCATTGCCCAGCAAGAAGCCATAACTACACACTAATGTCTGGGAGATCAAGTTTTCTCACTGCCGTTGAAGGTCCATCTTTGGAGAGAGTAATGATTTCACTAGACGTGAGGGGAACTAACCCACCAGGGGTGCTCCTATAGAACTGAGTAGTAACTGGTCTTTCCGTTGGAGTCACAAACTTTGGAATGGTGATTGCTTTTTTAGCCGTAGCCATTCCAACAGATGTTTGAATCTGTGTAACCATTGTGCTTGTTTGGTTTGAAGAGGGGAACGTGAACAATGACTGACTAGCATCAGGTGTCAACGGAGGACTAAACGTAAGAGGTACCATAAAATTAAATGACTGGCCATTTCTTCCTGTCGTACTAACTGGCATGCCTTGAAGAATTTGTACTTGTGAAGGTGTCACCCTCGTAGCCTCTGTGGGTGAACCTACACTAACTACTGGAAACTGAAGTATTGTAGGAGATTGATTTGGCAACTGAACAGCTATTCTTTGGATGTTTGATTGTGACGTTTTAAGCACTTTCCCTACCATCTGAGCAACAGAATTATCAACATGAGTATTTGTTTCAATTGAGTCTTCCATTTCAGGAAATGGCACAGCCAATGGTTCATAGTCACTAGATTTTTCAGGTTCAACGGTACCTGCGAATTCTGGAGTTGTATGAAGTGCTTTTGGTGTTTTGCTGCCGTCTGAAAAAGTGTTCTGCTCTATATTATCATCTGAAGGAGGTGAAGGAAAATCAACTCTAAATTTTTTAGGAGCCGATTCTGACTCGCTATCAGTTGTTGATCTTTTATTGGATAATTTTTCATCTGACGACTCCTCTGATTCTTCACTTACATTTTTGTCCCCTTTCAGAGGTACTGGAACTTTGAGTGATTTCAAAACAGCATCTATCTGATCTTTTGTAAGAGGAATCATGGTTGGATTTTTACATGCAGGTATTCCAGTCTTAATAATAATTGTCTCAGCTTTTTTAGATTTTCTGATTTCTTCACCAGCTAGATTGCGTTGTACCACTATTTTACTTGCACCTTTTTTCTTTGGCGGGCTAGCAGTAGGGGTGTCACCTTGACTCAAACTCTTTGTAAATTCTGCAATAATAAATGAACAAATTTATCATATGGTTAACATTAACAAAACTAAACAACTTACTTGAAATTAAGGTTAACATGCATGTTAATATGTAATCTCTGGACTTCGATGAAATTTTGCATGCAACTTTTATACTTCCAAGGTAGAAAAAATTAAATAGAGTAAATTCAGAAATTTCTGCATGCATTTAATTACTATTATTGAACATGTACAAAGATTAAGGGTGATTCAGACAATTACTGAAAAAATAATGTCATTTGAATGACTGAAAAACAAAATTGGTGACCCAAATAAACTTCACCTCAAAAAGGCAAATACATTGTTTGTACAGATTAATTGTAGAACATAGGAAATATTAAATTAAAGTTTTCTAAATATTTTTACTTGCAAGATATGCATTTACTCCTCTTTTTGACTTATTTTTTCAACAAGTAAAATTATATCTTGGGAAATATTAAAAGTTAAATTTATAAATTTATCAAAATTTTAAGTACAGTTCTATATTTTAAAAAATTTCATGAAAATCCTAGAACTTGCTCATTTATGAACCAGTAACTTTATATTCAAAAACAAATTATTGTATTTTTCCTAAGGATTAAAAATCAAAATAAATAAAAATTTTGTTGTACGTGTTCGTTAAAATAAAGTGTTTTTAAGAATGTTTTTTCTTTCTTTTATCTTGTGACTTGTTGTCGAGCCTTCGACTTTTGTCGAAAAAGCGAGACATAGCGATCCTACATTCCGTCGGCGTCGTCGTCGTCGTCGTTGGCGGCGTCCACAAATATTCACTCTGTGGTTAAAGTTTTTGAAATTTTAATAACTTTCTTAAACTATCCTGGATTTCTACCAAACTTGGACAGAAGCTTGTTTATGATCATAAGATTATATTCAAAAGTAAATTTTGTAAAAAAAAAATTCCATTTTTTCCGTATTTTACTTATAAATGGACTTAGTTTTTCTGCCAGGAAACATTACATTCACTCTGTGGTTAAAGTTTTTGAAATTTTAATAACTTTCTTAAACTATCCTGGATTTCTACCAAACTTGGAAAGAAGCTTGTTTATGATCATAAGATAGTATCCAGAAGTAAATTTTGTAAAAAAAAAATTCAATTTTTTCCGTATTTTACTTATAAATGGACTTAGTTTTTCTGCCAGTTAACATTACATTCACTCTGTGGTTAAAGTTTTTAAAATTTTAACAACTTTCTTAAACTATCCTGGATTTGTACTACACTTGGACAGAAGCTTATTTATGATCATAAGATAGTATCTAGAAGAAAATTTTGATAAAAATATGTTCCATTTTTTCCGTATTTTACTTATAAATGGACTTAGTTTTTCTTCCAGTTAACTTTACATACAGTCTGCAGTTAAAGTTTTAAAAACATTTATTAGATTCAAAAACCATCCTGGATTTTTACCAAACTTGGACAGAAGCTACTTACAATCAAAAGATAGTATAGAGAGGAATATTTTTATTAATTTTTTTCCTCATTTTTGTTGAGCCTGCAATTAACAGCAAAAGTAGGCGAGACACTGGGTTCCACGGAACCCTTACGAATTTTTTTTTTATAAACGAGACAGTCACGAAGCTTGTGATTTGTGTACAATCTAATGCACAGATATTTGCAAGGGAGATAATCTAGGACTCTTGGATGTTTTCCAATATTGTAGTCTCTGGATGATTTAATTTTTTAAGGTCGCACATACTGCCTACTGATTAAAATTGTATTTTGCAGTCTAGATGTTATAAAGAATTTTTTATTATTGGATTGCTGTTTCATTGAAATACAAATGTATATGCGGCATATCCTCTTACAGTCTGCACCAAAATCTTTTTCAACTACTTTTGTACATGTAATAAACCTAAGACATCAACAATTTTCTTATGTGTCTAAATAAAGTTACAAAAGTGAGAGGTTTAGCTACTATAAAACCAGGTTTAATCTGCCATTTTCTACTGTACCAAGTCAGGAATATGACAGTTTTCCATTTGTTTGATGTGTTTGAACTTTTGATTTTGCCATTTGATTTTAGTGACTTTCCGCTTTGAATTTTCCTTGGAATTTGGTATTTTTGTTATTTTACTTTTTATGTAAATACTTACTAGTCCACATAGAATTTAACAAGTATGGGGCATCGGACTGGTGGCTAACAGTGCATACAACTTTAAAACACAATCATCGAAAATGTGTTTAATTGCATATGACTAGTAACCCATATTTTTGAAATTGACATGGAAACAGTTTCTTAGAGAAATTATAATTGAGCTGTTCCATTAATAGTACACAGCAGTCAAAATCATCACCCTCTTGGAGAGAACTGATATCATAAGTGTCTAAATAAGCTTTCTAATGTAACTGCCATTATTTTGTTCTAAACAAACTAAATTAACATTTTTAGTTTAATACTGAAAAATTTCTAGACTGTGATACTCAACATTTTTGAAGAATATTGTATAAATCATTTAGGTTATTAAACTGCATTGACAGCTATATGTTCAGTATAGAAACCCTTAACATTCCATTTTTTGCCAATGTTTATGGGTTACATCAGAAATTGAGTATGATCAAACCAAAATAAAAGTTTGAATCTCATCCAGTCTATCATAAATTACACCTACCATCACCAGAATAATCCTGAGTAGGACTACAGGGTTGTGACATAGACTCGTACAATTTTTGCCGTTCCTTCTCAGCCACCTCACAAATCTGTTCAAATGATGAATGTCTAGGAAATGATGGTTTCTTTACTGGTTCACATACACACACTTGTAATCCTCTGTCACTTTTACATGGATCAGTCTTCCGCTTCTTGTCATCTAAATTTAAATAGTGAAGATATTGGAGTATAATAAGGGCTGATCAATCAGACTTGTTTTACATGTAGCAATAATTTTTCGTCTTAGTTACAATTTGGCTCTCAAATATTCTTGAGTCTTGAATAACACAAAAATATTTTCCAGTCCCTCCAAAATCATTTTTTTTTTTTATATAATCTGACACTTTTTCCTATGAACCCTACTCCATTAAAGAAAGAAAGAAAAACATCTATTTTATACCTCTTTCTATTTATAAAAAAAAGGGTGCTTTAATCTTTAAGGTCTTTTTTCCCTTATAATGCAATCGAACATAAATTCATACTTTGAAAAATTCCAATGTCAGGTATTTGATTTTGCATACAGAATGACAAAATTTTATTTCACTTTCAGATTTCAGTATATAAATAAAAGTTATTCTCTAAATATCACAATGTGTATTGTATGTAGAAAAGGCAAGGTTCACGTTACTCATCTTTAGGCCAAATATGGCCTTGAATTTCAACTTTATCATAAAATTTCAAAATGGCCAGAATTTGGTTCTTAAATGGATCTATTTACAAAATTGTGCTTCTTTGTTAAAAGAAATCTCTTCATAAGAGTACATTTTTGGCTTCAAAATCAGTACATTTTGGATATTTTGTCAAAAAATGACGATTTTGTGTGCATTTTTCAGTCCTAAAAGCTTGAGGAAACCCTTGGCTGCAAACTAGGATCCAAAAAGTTCTGTAACCAAAAGTTGCCAATGATGGTATTGAATCCAAAGACACAAAAATTTTCTGGATCATGAGTGGCGGCCAAAGTAAATTATGCTAAAAAGTGTTAAGAATTATTGAAAATTTGACCAAAACTGACGTTACAATTCATAAAATGCATTCTTAAAGAGTCAATACTTCGTCATTTTTAATATGATGTGCCAAAATGAAGTTATTTTGTATTAATAGTAATATCATAGCTATTTCTTTGTGAAATTTGTAGTATTATGGCCTGATTAAAAAAACACTAAAATCTTAGGGACAATTTTAACCCTTCCTAAACTTACTCCTTTACACTATAAATAAGAAAAATGCAATCTTTGAAAATCTAAGTAGCATGTCTGGAGAAATATAGCAACCATGAACTGGACAGTGTTTGATACTTACAAGTAGTCTGGGCTTCTGATGATCTTTTTCCTGTTACCATTTCTGCAACTTAAAAACACAAAACATAAATATAGATGTTTTTATTATCTCCACATAGCAAACTTATGATCTGTAAAAATGTTTTCATTAATGCAAAAATGCAACAGGATGAAAATTCCAAAAATTAAAACTTCCAATTGAAGTTGTTAATCGTTATATCTACTTTAACGTATATAGTAATCACACAGTATTGTCAAAGATTCACAATAATTGCACAGATTATAAATTTAATAATAGGTGCAATAAAAAGAAATATTCACCACATTGGATTAGCTAGATATTTACAACAGATATTGTGGATTCATTTTTATTCGTTGGATACAGGTGAACCAAGAAATTAAATATTGAACTGTACAAAGAATGACAAATGTTCCATAGGCTTGTATGCAGACTTCTGCAAAACCACGAAATTAAATATCCACTTGAATGCAAGTTTTCCTTCATCCACGAAAATGAATGAATCAACAGTACTCAAAAGTGTACATTCAACTCAAAACAGTAAAAGGAGGGAATTTTGAAGAAATATTAAAAAACCTTAAAAAAATATTTTGATAAATTTGCAATGAAATAAAGTAATGAAAAAATATATAGGTATACTCGACTCCTCGTATCTAATCCTATTTTTTCTTTCTTTTTCAGTTTAACTTTAGTGATGTACATACAATAATAAGCTTCAGAACTGATAAGTGCTTGTGATAGATCACAAAACAAGAATGTGTTCATAGTACAAGGATGCTCCACTCCACTATCATTTTCTATGATCAGTGGACCGTGAAATAGGGGTCAAAACTCTTAATTTGGCATTAGTTAGAAAGATCATATCATAGGGAACATGTGAACAAAGTTTCAAAAAACTACCTTGACCAAAAAACATAATGCCCCTATCTGTAAACCTATATATATATTGAATAGAATCTGCATTGTTCTATACCATACTTGAAAATAAAAATCACCTTGGTTATTCTTCACACAATCCAATAATGAATGCCTCGAACTTGGCCTGTGAAATCCATCATTGTAACATACTGAAATAAAGAGAAAATTATCATGTAAGCAGAAATAAATTCAAGGGGTGTAACTCTAGTTCTAATGGATGTCATTATAAACACCTTGATATGTATTCTCAAATTATTTAAGAATTCATATGTTTTTCTACCCAATTAAACCAGGGTTTTTCTTCCTCAATTTTAAAGAAATTTTAACTTTGGTAACAATGATTAAATTCTAAAATTGTGATGTTAAGCAACAAGCACCTGCCACCAAAAATGTATTGTTGTTCAGGGATCATAGATTTATTCTTACGAGGAAGCTCCGACCATGCTCGGAGCTTTTTAAGTAGGCTCTTCTCTGCAGATTATGTGACAATAATTATCATGATCCATTAAGATGTCAATCAAATCTATAGCACTTCTATAATAAGGAATGATGAGCATTATAGAGGAAGCTCAATTAACACCTGTTTAAACATCTGGTCTATTTAATTACATTTATCATAAAATTTTACAAAACTATAAAATAGATGAGAAATTCTACAAAAGTTCTGTACAATGCTTGGAAAGATATATCAAGTCTTCACAGAATTTTTTTTTTTAACATTTTCTTAATAATCATCATTCTTTTTCAATACAAAAAAAATACTCAAATTTTATATTTAAAATACAAATATATTTAAAACTTAATGAAATATAAAATTCATCAAAGACACAAACTATGGTAATTGATTTATAACCTTACTACTGAAACATAGTACATTCAGTTTCATGCAAATAAGGATTGATTTTTTTTTATTCCATATAATTTGACAGAAAGGTGTTTTTGAGACATACTCATGTATCTTGGGTGTTTGAAAGCAATAAAAAAAGTATTGGTGTTCTATAGAATATTTTGGCAATTTTAGGGGACATACTTTGACCTATAATGGTTTACTTTTATAAATTATGACTTGGATGAAGAGTTGTCTCATTGGCACTCATACCACATCTTCTTATATCTATGGCTACTAAAGCTTGTAAACAGGGAAAAAAGGGGGAGATAATTTGATTGGTCAACTTCTAGTGATGTTTCTTATATGCACTGAAAAGTTATGATGTATTGTTGCTATAGTACAGGACAGGATAAAACTTTACTCATGTCAAGTATTTCTTTATTTAAAACATAGATAAATTCTGCACATTTTTTTTTTTTTTTATTAACATACCATGTAAACAAAGACTGATAGGGGGAAAACCATTTTATGTTAGATTTTCACTGAAGTACAGGACAGGATAAAACTTTACTCATGCCAAGTATTTCTATATTTAAAACAAGGCCAAATAAACACAATTTAAAAAAAAAAGCCAATTAAAGAGAGAGGCACTAGACGGAAAACGATGGTGGTATTAAATCCTCAACTTTTCTTAAAGTAGCCATAATTATCTATATAAGAGCTAAGTTTGCTATTTCATAAAAAAAAAAAACATATTGCCATTGCTTAGTTAGGGGTATAACTTAAACAAGTAATTTTCAAAATTACCTATACAAGTGATGTTGAAAAAAAGGTTGTTTCAAATATTACTTCTATATATATGAATAAGCAAATTCTGTAAATATTATTTTTATAGGTGTCCATTCATACAGGTTTTACTAGCTTTAACAAATTTTCACAGACATCTGCTTATTTTCCCCATGCAATATAAAACTATTTAAATCCTCCTTAAAACACTGATTCCACACTTCTTGGTCAAAGATTGGTCTCTTTGGGCTATTAAAATATCATTTTTCCTTAAAATCATAGAGATAGACAGATATAAATAGATTCAACCTTGTAATTTAATTAAGACTTGAAGTTATTTATAATTTGTAATCTTTATAAAAAACAATTACATATGTTCCTTACATTATTGTAAGTACTAAGTTTTTCGAAGATGTATAAAATAATTTATAAAAGTAGTATGTTTGTCATCATTTTTAAAGTAACCTCTCCATACTCATCTCAAATTGGATAAATACTTAATTATACTTAGGGCTATTCCATTAAAATGTATGTGGGAGGGTAGGAAGGGACTTTCAAAATATCCCTACAACCAAGAACCATTTTTTAGATAATTTTGCATAATGGTAATAGACGCATACTGAAAAAAGACCCACGACCCATATTCAATAATTAAACTTCCCTACCTACCCTCCCACATACATTTTAATGGAATAGCCCTTAATGAAATGATATAAAAATTCTTAAAAACCACATTTAGTCCATTTTTGACATTTAAAATAACTATTGAGTTTATATTAAACAATTTTTAAAAGCAAAAAATACCTATTAATATAAGTCATTAAAAAAATAACTTGTTTAGTATCGCCCCCTGACTGTTGTTTGTGTCTTGATAACTTTTATGTAGCATATTATATAATATAAACTATATTTAAATCATATCATCTAATTATAAAATTTGAGATTTTTTTTATTATCCATAATAAGAGTGATTATTAAATATAATAATTATATATTTAAATGACTTTTACTTTTTGTGGAGGCTTGAGATTTCTTTCCAAGCATTACACAGTACTGTTGAAAAATTTCTAATTTATTTTTTAGTTTTCTATAATGCTCTATTTTCCTTATTATAGAAGTGGTGTAGATTTGATTGACATCTTAATGGATAATGATAATTATTGTCACATAAACTGCAGAGAAGAGCCTACTTAAAAATCTCAGAGCATCCTCCGAGCATGCTCGAAGCTTCCTCGTAAGAATAAATCTATGATCCCTTAAACATCAGTGGTTATTACAGTACTATTAAAATTGAAACTGCTTTATATACAGGTAACTTTTACGAGATTCTCTCATTTGCATTTCCCCCAACAAATGTAACTCTGAAATAATGCCCCCCCCCATTTAGTTGCTTCCCTAGACAACTTAAGAGTTTATGTAACAGGTGATTATTAATAAAATATGTTTTAAAATAAAAATAAAAAACTTAAGTTGAACAGACTATTCTATAATTTTTGTCTTACCACTAATGTCTTGCATCTGCATTAAATCAGGTCCTATATACTTGAATGCTGGTTTCCTTCCCCTAAATTCTGTTACATGTACTTTCCTAATGAGATCTAGGCTAGTAAGAATGTTGGCTATATCATATAATCTTCTAATCTTTGCTGCAAAACAAACAAAATATATAAAGGATTTGTTTAAAGTCATTCAAAACTTTTAATAATGGTAAAAGTCTTTTGTAATCATGTGTGTGAATTGTTCTTGCTAATCTGTTTCTTATTCCACTTTAAATGTGTTTTATCCAGTATCCTCTGCTTTTATTTATGAATATAAACATTCACTTCTTGTATTAAAAATCAATGCCCTCAGAAAACAAGACAAAATGTGCTAGAATAAGTTTTTTTGTATATATAGCCTATATGACAGCTTGAGGATGTAATATATAATAATGTAATAAAACTGTAGCACTCAGCCTGACAATAATAAAACATGTATTTACAATGACAACCCTCAATAATGAAACTCCTGACCTGGACAAACATGTTTTAGGACCATAATCAGGATGTATCTAATTTAAATAAATCCAAATAAGGTTTTCAGGGTCAAAAAGTAATGCCCTCCAACTGTTTATATACCTGGAAAACTTAAGTTAATGTGGCGTTATTTATGTTTCAATGACAAATCTCTTAGGTTATATCCTTAACCCTTTCACCGATAGCTGCCCAGACAGAAGCTACTCTGAGACGATGGCTTCCCTGGCTACTATTACTCAAGTGGGAGATCTTCATAATAAATGTCAATAAAAACTTGTCTGTAGTTATTTGTGTCTTTATTTCATTCACTAACACCATGTTCACGGTTTTGTTCATGTTTTGATAATTTTTTCTTCATAAAATATTCAAATTTTCGGCATTATCTAGGTGAAATTCTCAAAATTCTGCTCTTTGACCCAAAATCGTAATTTTTTAACCCAAAACGGCAAAATTTTGAAAAATTTAATGAGGCTGTACAAATTCCTTTCACTGAACGATGTCCTTTCCAAGTGTTTTGTACATAAAACGACATTTTATGTCAAAAAAGTATATTAGTTTGGCTTCAATTCTTCCATATTCTTTCAAAAAATATGTTCCCTTTTTTCAAATTCTAGTAAATTCCGTAAATTTCCTCTGATTTTGACACGGTTTTCAACAAACGGAAGGGCCATGTTTACACTTTCATCCGAGTATTCAACAAAGAAAGATAACTCGTTTTTACACTGTTTTGAGCGGGAAATATAAAAGAGGTATTCCGATCCCGGTAAAACGGGACTCATCGTCAGCTGTCTGAAGCGTGAATCCCGGTAAACCGGGACTCATCGGCGAAAGGGTTAAATAAGTGCATTGTGCTTTTGCATTTTGTTTATCATGAATATATATACTACTGATCACTGGGTTGAAGTGTTTACTTACTTTTGCATTTTGAAGTCGGACCTGTTTACTTACTTTTGAAATTTGAATAGTCGGACCTGTTAACTTACTTTTGAATTTTGAATAGTCGGACCTATCTACATTTGCATCACCAATGAGTATCTTTGCTGCTAGATCTAAATTTACTGTTTTTTGCTGAAAAAGGAAAGATAAATATTTACCTTCATACATTGTGTAATTCACGAAAGATCTAGAATATGACAACAAAAATACATATCCACTATAAAATTGGGAAATTTGTGCTTAAATTTTAATTTTATAATAGAGTAATCTACTTATGTAATTGGAAATAACATTAGGATTATCTCCCCCTCATTAGTATTCAATGCTGTTTGTCCTTCTATTGGGTACTAATTTTCATGGATTGAGGAAATCTTGCAATTTCGTGGAATTTTGATTTAGGGGTTTTGCCAAAGTCTGAATGCATGACAACAGAAAATTTGTAATTTGTTGACCATTTAAATTTGTGGTTATCCTAGGCCTGTATAATTTTCTATGTTTTCTATGTATTGTGTGCGATTTTGTCCCATTTACATGTACTCCATATCATTTCATTTTCTGTTATTCAAAGAAACACAGTACAATAAAATAAGTTATAATTTCCTGTTTTGGTCAACAAAAGTTTTCAACAGGGTAAAAAATAAACTCATGAGACAGAGAGGATACAAAGCACATGCAGAGGAACTTTACCAGGAAAGACTATTACCTCAGAAACAAGAAACAGCATCAGAAACTTTTGACTCATTATACCAAGTGATTTGTCTTTTCTCATCAATGCTGAAAAATAAAAACAAGATTTTATTGTCAAACATTAGGTTTTACAGAAATGTTAATTCTATCCGATGTATTGATCATGTCATGATCTGGTGATCCATTATTCATGGTTATTGTCAATTCTGATAGATAATGGATCTGATAAACTTAAACAGATCTGGAGAAATTCAGTAAACAGCTTTCATTACTGCATGCTACTTTTAAAACTATCATTATATGATGCAGTCAAAATTCAGCTTGAACATTCAACAATAATAAAACAAGGAATTAAGCATAATATGGTGTTTGTGAGGATATTCAGCATTCATGCTGTTATAAACTTGTAACAATATCTTTTGTTAATACAACTGTGCCCATCTCATTTATGTCCCCTTCCAGTAAAAACTTTTGCTAATTAGTTTCAAAAGTTTTAGTTCTGTTACAAAAAAAAAGCCAAATCATCCTTTTAAAGATTTAAAATTCCAAGCAGCATATATCAAGGCCAAGTATATATTAATTTTAAAGACTACAAGAACTTTTTACAGCTTTAAGCCTCTCCCTAAAGTTTATCAAAAAAACTTTATCTACCTGTTCCACCTAGATTTTCAATATTAAATGTTGGTTTTTCAAGCTTGGTTCCACACATAGCTGCATTCTGTTCTGCTAGTTCTCGACTCAACTCAAAATCTCGTAATTTCTTCATCTGCTCTGCAAAACCCTCTGCATCTCCTAGTGCCTAGGAAATAAAATGGGTTCATCATAAACCTCTTTCAATAATATTCCTAGAATAACAATCCATTATATCACTAAACGAAACATTTAAGTCAAGAATATGAACATGCTGAAAATTATCAAAAGATAATTGCATTTTTTTCTTTAAAATAAAAACCTGAACCATTATTTCTTATTCCTTGTATCAAATCAGGCTGGATAAAAATAAAATTCATGCGTGTTTTGCTGTAACCCAAATTACCCACTTGATACCCTATATTTTCAATTTCCATCCAGCTCTTTTATTGTGATAATGCATATTTACAACGTATATCTACAATACTCTCAAGGTAAAAAAATAACACCTATCTAGTACCCTTATTTTTTTCAACATTGAGGGTAAACACATGTATATGATTTAGGCACGTTCTAACAATCTGTATGCTATCATTAAGATGCTCAAAATGTCAAAGTTCACACGATTTTACTACTTTTTGTGTAATATATTACCTTTAGTTTAGCTAACGTTACAGGCAAGTTAGACTTGCCATGCCAGGCATATTTATTTTTAGCAATTCTACTGACTATTTCCACACTCTCTAACACATTTACTATATCATATATCCTTCTTCTTTCTACACCTAAAATCAATAAATAAAAAAATATATATATAATTGTGAATGTGCTATACCTTCAATTTTTAAAAATGTGAAAACTGAAGACATATAGTGCCCCAGTCCAATAGTAAGGGGAATAGCCCTAAGTAAATGCAGGCTATCATGTATAACCGTGCAGATCAGAGCACATGTATCCCTCTATTTATCAAGGGGAGAATGAACCTGAATTAACATTCTCATGAAATCCTTGGACTTTAAATAAAAGGAACTGTGCTTTTATTGCTACTCTTAAACTTGACATTTACGAAAAGATCTTATAAAATAAAGTAATGTGTTCATATCTTACAGTAAGATAAAATTGTCAGTTTTGTTGTTGTTTAAATAGAACTGATAGGTCGTCATTTACTTTAAAGGGTTGCTTGATACAAATTGCAACCAATAATAAAAAAAAATTGTAAGGGGTTCCACAGAACCCTGCGTCTCGCCTGCCATTGTTGCTGTCAGTGTAAAAGTGTAATGTTAACTTAAAAAGTGAGTCCATTTATCAGTAAAATACAGAACTTAAAAACAAATCAAACTTTTTTAGATGCTATTTTTTGGTCTTGAAGATAAGCTTCTGTCCAAGTTTCATAACAATCCATAAAGATTTACAAATTTATCATGTCAAAAAAGTCCATCTATCAGAAAAATACTGAAAATAAAAATATATTTTCAAAAGTTTGCTCAGGAAACTGTCTTTCGGTCATAAACAAGCTTTAGTCCAAATTTCATAAAATTCCATGAACCACAGACTGAACCTAATAAATGTCGACGCTGCCACCGACAGAATCTAGGATCGCTTTCACGACATGATGATTGCCAAGGAGACCACCCATAAAGGACAAAGACATGAACAATTACAGTCATTATACAGCCTTCAACAATGAGCAAAGTCCATTCCAAATAGTAAGCATTTTATAATTTAACTTTGGTGAGAAATATTGCAGTCGCAGACAGCAAAAACTGAAAAACAATTATTTTGAAAGATGAACCCTTTCCACAGAATTTAGTTTTCTCCTACTTTTCTATATTCCAGCAACTCTTACCTAAATCTTTAGCAATTTCATCTAAACTTATAACATTACTGTCCTTGGTTGTTGGCATTTCTGGATACTTATTCAAAAATCTGTAAATAAATAAAACATAATATATTTCTGAAATAACATTGAGTTTTTGTACTATTAAAATTTAGTCTAGTGATTTTGTGAAGATTTATTTTCATTATTTCCAAGTTGAGAAAGCAATGCTAATTACATTATCTTTGTGAAGCTTTGAATTTACTGGCTAATATACACATCTATAAATTTATAATACAGGGTAAATTTTAAAAAAATCATATAATTACAGCATTTGACTGCCTTTCTCTACTTGTATAATTAATACAAATAATGTACTGAAATATTCACAAGTGTGCTCCCTAAATATTTCACAAAGCAAAAAGGCAGAGCAGACATTTGGAAATAGAACTTTGTTGCTTAAATTGGTTTCACTAGGATAATCTTAGTTTTAAAATAAATCATAGAATGCAATATATGAAATGCACAGGTTTGTACGACCTGATGTTACATGTAGATAAATAAGAAACAATTTTTCATCAAAACTATGAATTTTGTCCTATTCCATGAACTTTGTACAAATCTTACTTGGCACAAAGCAATCCAAGCGATTTTTCTTTCCTGGAACCAGCTGGCTTCCAATCAAAATCATCTCCAAAGTCTGGTGGTTCTACAACTACCACATCATCATCAGTTCCAATCGATATGTCCTTCATCTTGCTTTCCCGGTCTCTAATTTCTGGACTGACGGCACTAAAAAGCATTTTAAGATTAGTTGTTGGTGTGAGAGGTGCAGCAATTTCTTCTCCCTCCTCTTTACCTTCTTGTACTGGAGTTGTTGGTCTACTGTCGGGGCTTTCTCCTTCTTTGACAGGTTTAGGACTTTCTTTATGTTTCAGAGACTTTTTTGCCTTTTCAGATATTCTGTTTATATTTGTTGATTTTGAAAATGGAACTCTTTCCTCGCCTTTAGATGCTTCCTCTGACATATCTGAAAAAGACATCATAATGTAATATCATGAAAACCCACATAACAAAATTAGTTTATATTATCGCTATTTTCTCAATCAATCAAAGTATAGGTCTACAACTCAAGAACGATAAAAGCTAAAATCGTAAAAAACTGAAATTGACCTTCATTTAGTCAGAGGAAACAACATCATATCTAAATTTGGAAAGATTTCATCAAAGCATTTTCAAGTTACTGCACAGAAAACACTCCAAGTACCACTTTTTGCTTCTTAAAGGTCTACAACTTAACAATACAAGCTAAAATCGTGAAAATTAAACTTGACCTTCATTCAGAAAGAAGAAACAACATATATATATCTCAAATTGAAAAGATTTCATCAAAGCATTTTCAAGTTACTGCACAGAAAACACTCCAAGTACCACTTTTTGCTTCTTAAAGGTCTACAACTTAACAATACAAGCTAAAATCGTGAAAATTAAACTTGACCTTCATTCAGAAAGAAGAAACAACATATATATATCTCAAATTGAAAAGATTTCATCAAAGCGTTTTCAAGTTTTTGCACGGACAACTCTCTACGTATCACTTGTCTCTACTTGAAAGTCTACAACTCAACATCAATAAAAGCTAAAATCATGAAAATCAAACTTAACCTTCATTAAGGGACATACATCAATCTCGAGTTATTTTTTTATGAATGAATTACACGAGTTTACCTAAGGTTAATCGGTGTAAACGATGTCACCGAACAATCAGTTCTTACTGTGACGTAATAAAATAAGCATTGTGACAGTCTGCACCGTAATCCACAAGTCTGATGCCCAAGCCTAGTTAAATTTTGTTTGAACGAGTAAGTATTAACCAAGGTCTGGTTAATCACTTAAGAAAAGTGTCGGAATATTGGTCTTCGGACTAGTAGTTGGAAAAGATTTTGGTGACTGGTGACACAGGAATCTTACAGGAAGTGCATGAATTCAAAAGTTGTCTTTAAGTGTTACTTGTATTTTCTAAATTCATAAGAAAAATTTAACTGTAATAGAGATGCTCTCTTAGACTTTGTTTGCCAAAAAATTCCAAAACTTTTCTATACTGGACAATCAGCAAAAATTCATATACATATTTATTATGCTGTGTAGACAATCAGGTCCTCAATGCTGTTGGAAAATTTATTAAAGTCAATATGATTAGATCTATTTATTTTTCATGTAACTATTATATACTATAAACCAAGGGCTTTATTATAGCCTAATTGTATTGTGATTGTGTATTTTAATTCATATGTACCTATGCTAATAAATGTTCTTTTTTTCCTTATACATGTATGCTCTATATTAGTATCTACATGTACACCTTATTGATATTTGTCTGCCATTACTGGACATTGCAAAGGTTCCTGAAAAATTTTGACGTCACAATAGAAAATGTCTGATTCGACAAAGGAAAAGTGATTGTTGTATGACGTCAATAGTACAAGTGTCACAGATTCCCAGATAGCGATATGGTATATGCCCTTTGTGGGCCCTTAATACACCTTATCGCTATTTTCCCCCCATTACTGGACATCACAAAGGTTCCTGTAAAATTTTGATGTCACAATAGAAAATATCTGACGCCACAATGGAAAAGTGATTGTTGTACGACGTCAAAATTTAAGCGGCGCAGTTTCTGAGGTCAACCAGCGCAAATTTCCAAATATAAGGTGTATTAATAATTGTTAATAAAATATGTTCTTGTTGGACAATGGTGTGGAAATTTTTTTTAACTTGAAAGAATACTTATTATAATATATAATGTATTGAATTCTTCCAATTCAAACAAAGAAAATCACTATTTCATTTTCTGTCCCTTTTCATTTTGACAGGACAATGCATATACATATGTCTATAGATTGCACTGCATATATGCTATATGACTTCCTGGGGCCCTGATTTGGTGAATAAAAGTATTCTATTCTATTCTATTCTATACATCATGGGATATTCTTGTTTCCTTGATCATTTTTTATGTAATACTGCATTAAGAGATGGATTTAGGAGATGGGAGGCACAGCCCCTCTTTTATGGAGCTACATGTATGGTCAGATCATATGTTTTCGTCCGTCAGATAAATTCGTACTATCATGGTTTTTCAATGGAAATTGTTACGTCACAGCATTCTTAACAGCACAGAAACCCCTGAAACGTTGATATAGTTAATGCATTTTTTTCTTCAAAATCCTGGATCCGCATATGAATATGTTTAAATCAATTGGAAGAGTCATGAAATTAATTAGGGGGATTCCACTTTTTTAGTATAAACATGATAAAGGTGAACAAACAAACTAAATTTCATTCTTCCTTTTTTGCCAAGTAACACCTATCAGTCTGATGTGTTTACATGTACATCTCTGCCACTGGGTTTAGGTTTGTTGTTGTTTACAAACAATGAATTCTTATTTTTCCCCAAAGTCAGACAATCTTACCACATACAAATACTTCTGTGTCATTTATGAAATCCTTTACAAATTTCTAAATTTTCTGCAAGGTTGAACAGAAAACAGTTGGGATTGTTTCTGGCGTTCAAAATTTTGATATGCTAGCGCGTTCAAATTTGGCGCGTGATCGTGTGTGCCATACCGGCCCGCCTACTGCATGTCGACAATAACGGACTTTGTTGTGATCTTCTTTCACAGTTCACTGGCGTTGTAAGATAATGATTTAATCAATAATGAATAGATTAATAAAGAAACATTTCATTAATTAACGCATGTCAATTACAAGGAGTTGTAACAGCAACCAGAAGATATTATTTTGGTTTGAAGTACAGAAGGGCCGCAAATTAGGTCAATTGATCAAAAATGGCACGTAAAAGTTCGCGGAAAAATTACCGGCTTAGACATGACAACTGCGAGATATTGATTGTGAAGACATTCTTAGGTCAAATAAACTTGTGTTTGAACTCTAAATATTATTAATTAGCTATAGAAACGTGAGAACGTTTCATTATGTGCTGATTTTTACATAAAATCATCTTACAAGTGGATACTTAGCCATCGCGTCAAATCCTCTCCAAATGTGGGTCAGGCATATTTGTATTCAATTATCCATTAAAACAGACGGAAAGAAAGGTGAAATGACAGTCTACTTGTCGTAGGTTCTTCAATACAATCGTCTTAAACAATAAATAGAACACAACTTACTTGGGGAATCGTCTGGCTCTTGTTTCATTCTTGGTATTTTGGCTCCTTTCCAAATGAGGTTTGTGTGGATGACGTAGGTGGGTTTGAAAGGTTACAAATATCATATGTGTCTGCGGAGCTAAAAAATAATATCCTTCAGATAATAACCAACAAATAAAGATTATTCCTAATGATTCTTGTAGACAAACGAAAAATTCTCTGTCAACTGTCTACAACAACAACATTTTCCGCGGAAATTTGGCGCGAGATGATGCGGGGTTTAAGACATAAAGGAAACGCCCATATTATTATTTCCAATGAGATTTAAAAGCCATTTTGATTGAAATGCTGTTGGCCAATCAGAATATTGATTCAGGGGTCAGTTCAAAGTTTGACAGGTCAATGTCTTTGAACAAGTCCAAGCCATGTGCAGCATAGATTAAACGAAAAACAAGTCGTGACAAAATTGTTTATTTCTCAGCACTGTAAATTTGAGAAAAAAACTATGTGTAAAAATATATGAAAATAGATCCCTGACACTAAATCTAGGTCTTATCTTCCCAAACTTTCATTTCCCTGAGAAAAAAATTTGTACAAAATGCATTCAACACTAATGTTAGTGACGTATTACACAAGGAAGTGCGTGTTTTCTTCAATACACACCTGCCATGGAATACACAAACATTTAAATTGTGAATAAATGGTAAATGTCTTGGATATTTATTTGCTTTACCCTTAATGCTAGGATTTGTAAATATTGCAGTGTTATCTTTTGGAAATAATAGACCACATATCTAAGATTTATTGCCAAAAACAAGGAAATTTACTATAACATCACAAAAAGGTGACTTTTTCACTTTTTCAGATTTCATCATGTTGTAAATAAACAAGGAATGGCAACACATGGAGACCAACACTATCAACCCTACCCACCCAATTCTGTGGAAGAAACAATCAAGGTAGGCAAATAATATACAATTTGTTTAGACATCATTTAACATGCAATTTGTCAATTAACAGATGAGCAAACATCCAGGTGTTTATTTAAACTTACAACATATTTGATCTGTAGGTAAATGAAACTAGGATGTCAATATAATGACAGAATTGTAATGTAAACTTGCAGAAGAATAAAACTGAATTGAAGTAACTAATGATTTGTATAGTAAGAATGATCAAAACTTAGGTGCAGGATGTGCTATCATCAATTAGATTATCATTTAATTGATGATTATGATGTTTAGTAATAAATACAATCAGAAAAGTAACTTGAAACTGAGACTACTATAACACAGAAAGATGTTGCCATACAATGGTAGAAATATCAAATGAATTAATTTTAAGGACACAAATTATAATAATTCTGAATTTGAGCGTAGCATGATGACCTCAGTGGCACATGGTTCTATAAAGAATAGGATGTTTATCTTAGTGGCTTTGTTCACCTATAAGAGCAGATAAAGATGGATCAGTGTTAATGTAATAAGCTATATTATAATTGTCTAGATGTACATGATTTTTGTGTGGTCACCTTTCAGTTTCTTCATGTTCTTATTAAACATTTTTTACATTTAATGCTTGACATGATCATGATGATTCTCCAACATGTTAAAAATGTCTTTTCTAAACATTTATTTTATTCAGGTTTAACTTGTGTTTGGTGGGGTTTATATGGTCAATCTTTTTTTTATTGTCCCTTCTGTAGCTTCAGTGGCTCATAATTTTGATAATATAATATTTTGTGTGCTAAGTTTGGGCTATTTCTAAAATGAAATTGTACTATATTGTAACCTAAAAAACTGTACATAGATATAAGAACATGTGGTATGAGTGCCAATGAGACAACTCTCCATCCAAGTCAAAATTTATAAAAGAAAACCATTATAGGTCAAAGTACGGTCTTCAACACGGAGCCTTGGCATATTAAATTAAGGTGTCATTGTTTTCTTGAACTGTGAAAACAAGTTTCTGTGAACATGTATGTTATTAATCATGTTAATGGTAAAACTGATAATTTTACTTTTTAAGTAACGATGGAATATTTCTCTATAGACATGATAGATCTACACCATAACACATGGTAAGGTCACACATTAGATTGGAAACCATATAGATATGATAATTAGATATGAGTTAAAATGTCTCTAAAATCTAGCATTTTCATCAAAATGAATACTGCCACATAATTTAATAAGGAGATGTGGTATGATTGCCAATGTTCAAATGAAGTGGATGTAAGCAATTATAGGCAGCCATTGGACCTTCAACAATGAGAAAAACCCATACCTTATAGTCGGCTATAAAAGTCCTGACATGAAAAATATGAAACAATTCAATTGAGAAAACTAATGGCCTAATTTGTAATGTTGCTGTTTGAACATTCAGTGTTAGTGATAGCCTAAGGTTTCAATGGAAATTTAAAGATACAAAAATTTAATTAATGGAAAAAATTAATATAATTGGGCTGAATTTATATAGTACTTGGGTGGTGTAAAAAGCTTTTTTTTCCCCAAGTAGTTCTAATGATTGTTTTACATTGAACAGTTTTTTTCCCTTTAGAAAACAAAAATGCATAGGGCAGGAATAAAAGGGTCGAGAGGTGCATAGAAGGGACAGAGGGTGAATAGAGGGGAGCACTGAAAGGCAAGAGAGGATCTGTCCTGTCTCATTTTGGGCTAGCTTAAACACTGCTTCAGATGGATGTAAGCGCTTGACATCTTACAATTGTTTCTAAATGGATGTACAATTTTGTGCATGTGAATTAACTTTCTTACCTATTTATACCTACTAAGTAAAAAATACTTCATTCATTGATTATGTTGATGATCAGAGATGAAGAATTTAGTTTGTAGCCAATTTTATAATTCAAGTCAAGTCTTTGTTTTTCTTTTCGTTTTTTTTTCCATAGAACTAAAATAAAATTTATGCATTTGCCTTTCAATAAATTATTCTTCATACATGTTAGTATACAACTAATAAAATTTTCAAATTTCAGCGTCTTTTTTAAATATATTCAATCTTTCATTTTATCATGTTTATCAGGCATGTCAGGCGTAAAAGTCATAAAATAAAAAATAAGTTTTTAATTGTCAATAAAAGACATATTTTAATACTCAATGTAGCAATTGCATAAAATGGATTTTTTTGTTGTGGAATTTCATTAATAAGCAAAAGTGTAAAGGATTGATTAGAACAACAAATATCTCTTTCATTATTCTGATGTAAATTACAAATCAGTTTCATTGCATTTAATCCATTTCATTTGATGATTCATCACCTTGTATTGAGTTTTGCTCCAGAAATAAAAAGAAATATTATCAAGTGTTATGGAATTTCAAAATGTCAGAATAAGTTAATCAGGGCACTGTGTGAAACCAGGAACTTCTATGTTAGTATAGACTGTCCCTGGTGAAACATGGTCATTTTGACATTTGAACTACAATTGTAAGTGGAAACATGCAGACTTTGGTCATTTCTAACCTGACATGACTGTTTCAAATTAATTTGTTTCTTCATGTTTATTTTGAGAGAAAACACAATTTATCTTGTGTGTTCTGAATATCAGAATAATATTCCAATGATATTATTGATTAAATTCAGTGTATGGAATCGGGTGGGTATGGTAGGGACCCTTTCTTTATGTGACTTCTATTTTACTGCCTTCCTGTAAGCTGTATTTCAAACTAAATAAGAATTCAAGTGGAAAATCTATAGACAATTAAAAAAATGTCACTCTTGATTTCTTTATTCAGTAATTGTACATGGAAAGTATACCTGCATTACATCTAAGATTTTAAGTATTTTGCTACGAAACTCTGTGATTTTGTAACCTATCAGATGCACACATATGCAGAAGAAATATGTATTTTAAGAAATGAATTTTTAACATTGGAAATCATTTCATTTTTTATCCCAGCAGCAGTTTGATAATAATATTAGAATATCTGCCCCCTCCTGGCTCCAATTTAAAAATATGTTCAGAATAACCTCTAACCTTAGTGTGTTTATCTTTGGCATTTTATTCATATAAATATCAGAGAACATAAGTTTTCATGTAAGACCATAAGCTTTTATTGAAAATGAATTGCTGTATCAACATTTTTGATTGATCCCTATGACCAGGGGCTATCTCACCTCATTGTTTTAATTCTATGGCATGTGACTATTTTTTCCTGATTATAGATGTTATTATCTGTACATGACCCAGGGGTGACATGAATATTATAGTTTAGAATGTTTGTTTAAGTATTTATGATAAATTGATTGGAGACTTGTGATCCTATTTAATTGTAATTACCTATGTTATATACAATCTTAAAATTGAGTACATGTATTTAAAATTGTCTCAGAACCTGTCAGAGATTAAGAAATGTGGAAATTTTCAAAAGAGCTGCATGAATTTAATAGGTTCAAATTATCAACTACCAATCAAAATCCATTTTTAGATTATACTTTAATCTTGCAAAAATTTGTGAACATATGACTTCAATTAAACTTTTTTTAATCAAAAACACCAGAACCGCCCTCTTTTTAAATGATCCTTGATATTGCATTGCAGTGGCGTGTCTAGGAATTGCGGTTAGAAGGGGAACACATCTCGACTTTTGCCTAGCTTGGCATGTTTAAATTTTTTTGATGTGGTGTGCTTTATACTAAAAAAATATCTTTTTAGTTTGTTTTTAGTGGGTTGCATGCTGGGTGCACCTCCGCCAAAAGCTGCCCTCTACCAAAGGTTAATGTGGACAGATTAGCTCAATACTTGTCTTTTGCTTGTTGGTTACATTTTGTTAGTGGAAAATATTTCTTTCACATCCAAGTAAAAACATGTTAAGAATATATATGAATTTGTATGATTTGAAATATGGATTGACTGATAGAAAAGGTAATAAGTTTTAGCAGCCTCAAGAAATGTTGCCTACTTCTACATCATTTGGTCTCTGGCGGAATGTTGCCATAGCAATCATGCCTCATCTTATTTTTACACTATATGTATCAGGTAGAACTATAAATGTAAAATTGAGAATGGAAACGGGGAATGTGTCAAAGAGACAACAACTACCAAAGAGCAGAAAACAGCTCAAGGCCAAGTGTGTGTCTGACATTGGTCATATTTGTAGTCTAATCCAAAAAGTTGTTTCTCTCTGTCAACGTATAGTTGTTCCGCCTAACAGAAGTTCCACTGGAAACTTTGTTATAAACAATGTCATTATATCTGTTCCTGTTGGAACAAATATTCTATACCATTTATTCCGTTAGGAACATATACTGTAATATTTATTCCAGTGGAACTAATATTATGAAGGTACTTCTATTTTGTGACATCTTGTGTTTTTACAAACAAAAAAATAGGGCATTCTCCAAACATAATCCTTGGACAATTTTTTTTTCTACCAAAAACATAAATCTGTCATACTTTTGGTAAAACTTTAAGGAACACAATTTGAGGGCTGCAGTTGGGGGGACCTTGCAAATTAGTCTGGTCAGAATGTATATCTCAATTTGTTTCTAATTCAATATGGACATAACAGTTTTGAACTTTTTTACTCATGTCAGAATATAAAAATATTTCTTAACCAACGTTCTGGGCCAAAATATTCAATTTTAAATACTGCCAGGATCCTTCAGAATGAAATATTCGTCCCTTAGTATTGTAACCCGAATAATTCCCTCGTTATGTTCCACTGTTCTACGGCATCTACATTAAAACCTGAAGGCCTAGTCATTGAAAATCGTCAAAAAATCATTCGGATTTAGCTTGTGGTTTCCCTATCTAGATAATATTAAGCTAGTGGCTGAAATTTTCTAAGTAAATATCTTCTTAATTGAAAACAATCAGAATTGTAAATCTTCTAAAAATTGTAAAAAAAACATATACATTATCAATATTGTTTTCCATTTATAAGATGTGATTCACTTGGGACTATTATACTAGTATAATAGTCCCAGGATTCACTAATATCAAGACAATTCATTAGAAAAATGTGAAATGATCCTCATCCAGCGTGTCAGGAGCATAGCATCTTTCAGACATTTGTTGTGATTAAGTAATTAACCCAGTCCATCTCAGTAGGAATCAATAAAATCAATTAATAAAAAAGTGTTAATTGAACACCATGCCAGTTAGTGACTGAATCCTTGTTAGCATGTGGTCACACTAGGGAGCCAGTTCACAGTCAGTTGTGGCTATTAGCATTCTCCAATTAACACCTAATTAAGAAATATTAAACAAATATGTCATAAAGATTAATTAACTGTATAATCAGGAGATTATTTGATTGACATTTTTCATCACAGTGTAGTGTATTCTATTTATGACAGGTAGTTATAGAGATTTATAAAGAAATTTTTTCCGTCTGTTTTTGAAAAAGGAACTAAATGGAAACGGGTGTACATTTGTAATTAATTCAGATTGAAATCCTTGCAGAGAGCAGAAAGTCTCATAATTATCTGTAATTTTGAACATCTTTAAAAGGTGCATATATCCAATTTAAGAGAAAACCCCAAACTTAGCTTTATAGTTTACAAAAAATAAAAAGTTTGAAAAGTTTTAAGGTTTAAAAATATGTGTGTTTTTTGTTATCCAAAGGGACCTCAGTAATTGTTTACTGTGTATGATACACTGTTATAATATGTATCATTAAAATGTCCCTGTTGAAACTATTTACCAGCTTTGAAAAGTAAAAGAATAATATAGAAAAGTAAAACTATTTTTTCCCCCCAAAATACTCACTCAAACTTTTAGGACGAGTTAGCAGAAACAGATATTTTTAGGTCTCACTTAACTTTTTGTGTTTTGTGTCATGTTTGCACGTTGTTTTCTTGAGATTAGTAGATATATAAAATTAAAATTGAAAGATTTCATTTGCTACACACAGAAAAGATTACTTAGTGACTTTGAGCTGATTTTTTCTAGAATGATTATTTTTGAAATAAATCATGAAAATTTGAAAAATTGAATCACTAATGATTGCCAGAAATACTAATAAAGAAAATGATTTCCTATATATCCAAACAAATTCAGGTACAGTTATAATAAAAATCTAAATACAGAGGTGGATCCAAAATCCAAAATCTGATGACAAAAAGCTTGTTCATCATGTCGAAGAAGGTGATGGATGACCCGTGAAACACATTTGGGACAAAAACGGGTCAATTTTATTTTTCTAAATCTTTCCTGTATAATGAGGATCCACCTCTGGATAATTATGTTAATGATCATTGCCTATTTTATTTTATTTTGATATTTAAACTTATTTTGCTATTTTTTTTATTTTTCAGTTTGTTTGTTGGCATGGCAGAATGTTTACACACCAAGCATGATTGACTATTTTGTTGCTATTTAAGTTCTGCTTTAATTGTTGTTTTATTTTATATTATCAATCAGGTCATATAAAATATAAAATTTTGTGAAAAATATACATATGAAGATTAAAAAAATTGATTTTTTAAATTTACTTTCTGTCAGTTTTAGATTTTTTTCTTCATAAATTGTATAATAAGCAACATGTTTAATTATTCCCAAATGGGATTTGTTTAGAAGGAAAGTAAATCAAATAAAAAACAGGGGACCTCATTGTGCATTAGTAGAGTCAGTATTGATTCCATAAAAGGTAATGTTGCTTTTCTTTTGTGTAGAAAATTCAGTAGGGATAACTTCCATTCATAATCAGTTTTCTATTTATGATAAAAATGGAAAAATAATCCAACCTTTTATGAACGATCAAAATATTATATTAATATGGCCTGTACACTTTAATATTTGAAAACAAAAGCTTACATGGTATAGCCTGAATGTTTCACAAGAACTAAATATTACATTTCTATGGCCAAATTATAATTACTCAACTGATAAGAAAAATTACATGGCTATTACCAGGACAGCTATCATTTGTTATAATAATTAACCAATACACTATCACTTATGCAAGAATTCAAAGTAACCTACAAATTCAGAATTGTAATAGTCAATATTATTATAAAACTGTGTTTGATAGAAATAATACAAGCAGTGTTTATCTTAGATCAAAGCTATGTGTTTAAATTGTTTTAATTGATTTTGAAGGATGCATTTCCACACATGCTATAAACTAACTACATTATATCCATTCAAAACAAATATCAAGGCCAGACACTGATCCATAAAATTTTATTCCAGCTTAATTTCTGAGATTTTTTACTTAATTATGAAAAAAAACTTGTTAAAAAGGTTGATTCTGTATCTAAAAACCTTATTTTCTGGAAAAATTATTAATAACATATTATTATTTTTAGATTACAGATCCTGACACTTATTCAAATAATAGTAATAAACACAAATCAAGTGTGAATTTTGGTGGTGTCACTTTTACCATTTTAGAGTTATGTCCCTTTATAACGTTATATGCAAGCGGGGGCATCATTTGTGTCCCATGGACACATTCCCCATTTATTTTTTATATATACCTGACAGAGGGGAGAGTTCTACTGGGCATACCTGGATTTAGGGGCTTCCAATCTTTTTATACCTGACAGAGGGGAGATTATTGGTCATACCTAGATCTAGGGGATTCCAATCTTATATACCTGACAGAGGGGAGAGTTCTACTGGTTATACCTGGATCTAGGGGATTCCAATCTTATATACCTGACAGAGGGGAGAGTTCTACTGGTTATACCTGGATCTAGGGGCTTCTAATCTTATATACCTGACAGAGGGGAGAGTTCTACTAGTCGTACCTAGGTCTAGGGGATTCCAATCTTATATACCTGACAGAGGGGAGAGTTCTAAAGGTCATACCAGGATCTAGGGCTTCCAATCTTACATACCTGACAGAGGGGAGAGTTCTACTGGTCATACCTGGATCTAGGGGCATTCAATCTTATATACCTGACAGAGGGGAGAGTTCTACTAGTCGTACCTGGATCTAGTGGCTTCCAATCTTATATACCTGACAGAGGGGAGAGTTCTACTGGTCATACCAGGATCTAGGGGCTTCCAATCTTATATACCTGACAGAGGGGAGAGTTCTACTGGTTATACCTGGATCTAGTGGCTTCCAATCTTATATACCTGACAGAGGGAAGAGTTCTACTGGTCATACCTGGATCTAGTGGCTTCCAATCTTATATACCTGACAGAGGGGAGAGTTCTACTGGTCATACCTGGATCTAGTGGCTTCTAATCTTACATACCTGACAGAGGGAAGAGTTCTACTTGTTATACCTGGATCAAGTGGCTTCCAATCTTATACCTGACAGAGGGGAGAGTTCTACTGATCATACCAGGATCTAGGGACTACCAATCTTAATTTTGTAATATTTTTTGTGATTTACTAAAAGAAAAAAAAATAGCTAAAAGGGGGTCTGGACCTCAATTACCTTCATTGATTTCTGAAGGTTCCTTTAATCTTAATGACAAGGACAAAAAAAATCAAGTAAGGAAAATAAATTTCACAAGAAACAGCTCTTTTTTTTTTAAAGTGAAATCAATATAAAAAAGTAAGAAATAATATATAGGAGTCAAGATGTTAAATATATCAATATTTTTTTTTATGAATTATGTATTTATTCACCACAAGAATAAGGTAAACAGCTGGTACATAAAATTTTTTTTGATTAGGCCAGACGAAAAGAAATGTTTGTGTTTAGGAGTAACACCACCATTTTTTTTAACTTATTGATAAATTGCCATTTCTCAAAAAATTGTGCAGAAATTACAAATAAAGAAATACTTGGCATGAATAAAGTTTTATCCTGTCCAGTGCTACTGTGAAAATTTCACGCAACGTTTCATTGCATACTGTAACAAAGTTAAACTTCCTTGGAAATAAAAAAGACAATTTCTTAACTTTTGCGTTCACAATAAATAAATATCACATTATGATTCAAAAATATTTTATAGGAACACCAAATAAAAATACACGTACCCTAGATATGTTTATGAGACAGAAAAAAATTTCTGCAATGAAATGGAGGGTTAATTTCCAAGCATAAAGTATAAAGGGGATTTGTCCCATTTTATCAAAAAACTGGATGTGAACTGGTGCATAATGTACATGTGTATTATACCGTTTTTGTTTTCTGACCTTTTCAGTTTTTTACTACTGATATTGAATTGCAAATAAGAAAAGCAAAAAATAAATCTTGATAGAAATTGTTAAAAACATTTCATCCTTACATATATATTTAGGGTAAAGAAGAAAATTATACCTATATACTTAATTGAATTTTAAAAGGTTGACTTTCTATAGTGGTCTATACCAACACTAAGTTTTATCGTTTGGCCTAAGCTGGGATCTTGTTGGTTCCAGTGGTTTAAAAAGGCTAAGAATCACTCACTCTATTGACAGCTGAGACCTTATATTTAGTTACTCTTTAAAAAAATGCTTGCATTTGACCTTTTGCACTCTTATTTAATTTAGGACCCTGATTTTTTTATGAATAGTTTAAATCTGTGTTAACATACAAGAAATCTGTGTTAACAGACAAGAAATTTGTGTTAACAGGCAAGAAATTTGTGTTAACAGACATGAAATAGGTGGACTAAATATTGATCTGCACAAAATGTTTTTGATTGAAAAATAACAAAATTCAATTTCTGTGTAAAGCAGACTGCAGTCTTTTTCTATACTAAATACATTTGTAAACTTTTTTTTATATTATTGTGTTTTTCATAAATTTTAAATTTGCATACAAATTCTAAATATGATATTCATTCTTTACTTCCTCTTTAGAACATCCTCTTTCATTTAACATGAAAAACAACTGTTAAAGTAGGACATACAAGAAATTAAATGTTTGCTCATGTAAAACATTAAAATCTGAAACTAATATCAGTCATGGACGTACTTAAGTTGTTGAAAGAGGAGATACATGAAGGTCTGTATGGGGTTAACAGAGTAGATAATAATGGGCCAGAAGAAAAGGGAAGAAAAGGGAATAGAGAAAAATCAGGAAAAAAAGAAGAATATACAAATGAAAACCCCCTTCCAGACCATCATACATTTAATATATTTATAAGTAAACCCCCTTCCAGACCATCATACATTTAATATATTTATAAGTAAACCCCCTTCCAGACCATCATACATTTAATATATTTATAAGTAAACCCCCTTCCAGACCATCATACATTTAATATATTTATAAGTAAACCCCCTTCCAGACCATCATACATTTAATATATTTATAAGTAAACCCCCTTCCAGACCATCATACATTTAATATATTTATAAGTAAACCCCCTTCCAGACCATCATACACTTAATATATTTATAAGTAAACCCCCTTCCAGACCATCATACACTTAATATATTTATAAGTAAACCCCCTTCCAGACCATCATACATTTAATATATTTATAAGTAAACCCCCTTCCAGACCATCATACATTTAATATATTTATAAGTAAACCCCCTTCCAGACCATCATACACTTAATATATTTATAAGTAAACCCCCTTCCAGACCATCATACACTTAATATATTTATAAGTAAACCCCCTTCCAGACCATCATACACTTAATATATTTATAAGTAAACCCCCTTCCAGACCATCATACACTTAATATATTTATAAGTAAACCCCCTTCCAGACCATCATACATTTAATATATTTATAAGTAAACCCCCTTCCAGACCATCATACATTTAATATATTTATAAGTAAACCCCCTTCCAGACCATCATACACTTAATATATTTATAAGTAAACCCCCTTCCAGACCATCATACACTTAATATATTTATAAGTAAACCCCCTTCCAGACCATCATACATTTAATATATTTATAAGTAAACCCCCTTCTAGACCATCATACATTTAATATATTTATAAGTAAACCCCCTTCCAGACCATCATACATTTAATATATTTATAAGTAAACCCCCTTCCAGACCATCATACACTTAATATATTTATAAGTAAACCCCCTTCCAGACCATCATACACTTAATATATTTATAAGTAAACCCCCTTCCAGACCATCATACATTTAATATATTTATAAGTAAACCCCCTTCCAGACCATCATACATTTAATATATTTATAAGTAAACCCCCTTCCAGACCATCATACACTTTATATATTTATAAGTAAACCCCCTTCCAGACCATCATACATTTAATATATTTATAAGTAAACCCCCTTCCAGACCATCATACATTTAATATATTTATAAGTAAACCCCCTTCCAGACCATCATACATTTAATATATTTATAAGTAAACCCCCTTCCAGACCATCATACATTTAATATATTTATAAGTAAACCCCCTTCCAGACCATCATACACTTTATATATTTATAAGTAAACCCCCTTCCAGACCATCATACATTTAATATATTTATAAGTAAACCCCCTTCCAGACCATCATACATTTAATATATTTATAAGTAAACCCCCTTCCAGACCATCATACACTTTATATATTTATAAGTAAACCCCCTTCCAGACCATCATACATTTAATATATTTATAAGTAAACCCCCTTCCAGACCATCATACATTTAATATATTTATAAGTAAACCCCCTTCCAGACCATCATACATTTAATATATTTATAAGTAAACCCCCTTCCAGACCATCATACACTTTATATATTTATAAGTAAACCCCCTTCCAGACCATCATACATTTAATATATTTATAAGTAAACCCCCTTCCAGACCATCATACATTTAATATATTTATAAGTAAACCCCCTTCCAGACCATCATACATTTAATATATTTATAAGTAAACCCCCTTCCAGACCATCATACATTTAATATATTTATAAGTAAACCCCCTTCCAGACCATCATCCACTTTATATATTTATAAGTAAACCCCCTTCCAGACCATCATACATTTAATATATTTATAAGTAAACCCCCTTCCAGACCATCATACATTTAATATATTTATAAGTAAACCCCCTTCCAGACCATCATACACTTTATATATTTATAAGTAAACCCCCTTCCAGACCATCATACACTTAATATATTTATAAGTAAACCCCCTTCCAGACCATCATACATTTAATATATTTATAAGTAAACCCCCTTCCAGACCATCATACATTTAATATATTTATAAGTAAACCCCCTTCCAGACCATCATACATTTAATATATTTATAAGTAAACCCCCTTCCAGCCCATCATACACTTAATATATTTATAAGTAAACCCCCTTCCAGACCATCATACATTTAATATATTTATAAGTAAACCCCCTTCCAGACCATCATACACTTAATATATTTATAAGTAAACCCCCTTCCAGCCCATCATACATTTAATATATTTATAAGTAAACCCCCTTCCAGACCATCATACACTTAATATATTTATAAGTAAACCCCCTTCCAGACTATCATACACTTAATATATTTATAAGTAAACCCCCTTCCAGACCATCATACATTTAATATATTTATAAGTAAACCCTCTTCCAGACTATCATACATTAAAAAAAAATGTATAAGTAAACCCCCTTCCAGACCATCGTACATTTAATATATTTATAAGTAAACCCCCTTCCAGACCATCATACACTTAATATATTTATAAGTAAACCCCCTTCCAGACCATCATACACTTAATATATTTATAAGTAAACCCCCTTCCAGACTATCATACACTTAATATATTTATAAGTAAACCCCCTTCCAGACTATCATACATTAAAAAAAAATGTATAAGTAAACCCCCTTCCAGACCATCATACATTTAATATATTTATAAGTAAACCCCCTTCCAGCCCATCATACATTTAATATATTTATAAGTAAACCCCCTTCCAGACTATCATACATTAAAAAAAATGTACAAGTAAACCCCCTTCCAGACCATCATACATTTAATATATTTATAAGTAAACCCCCTTCCAGCCCATCATACATTTAATATATTTATAAGTAAACCCTCTTCCAGACTATCATACATTAAAAAAAAATGTATAAGTAAACCCCCTTCCAGACCATCATACATTTAATATATTTATAAGTAAACCCCCTTCCAGACTATCATACATTAAAAAAAAATGTATAAGTAAACCCCCTTCCAGCCCATCATACATTTAATATATTTATAAGTAAACCCCCTTCCAGACTATCATACATTAAAAAAAAATGTATAAGTAAACCCCCTTCCAGACCATCATACATTTAATATATTTATAAGTAAACCCCCTTCCAGCCCATCATACATTTAATATATTTATAAGTAAACCCCCTTCCAGACCATCATACATTTAATATATTTATAAGTAAACCCCCTTCCAGACTATCATACATTAAAAAAAAATGTATAAGTAAACCCCCTTCCAGACCATCATACATTTAATATATTTATAAGTAAACCCCCTTCCATCCCATCATACATTTAATATATTTATAAGTAAACCCCCTTCCAGACCATCATACATTTAATATATTTATAAGTAAACCCCCTTCCAGACCATCATACATTTAATATATTTATAAGTTATGGACACATTAATATCTATCTGTATCTCAGGAATGATGTGGATATCTTTGGGGATGTTAGAAAGATGAGGAGATTAAGGGTGGGATATCTGAAACCCTTCCCCTTTTTTACAGATTTAAGAAAGAAAAAAAAAATTGTGCTAGATCTTCCTTTTCCCCAGGTGGGAACCTCCCAGGTACAGATCCAGAATTTTGAAAAAGGGGAACCCCTGGAAAGCCAATGTGATACATTGTACTTGTAAAAATTCTATGAATTTATCATATACGAACCTCTGCCTCCCTTTTAAAAGTTTGTGATTTTACCACTGAGTTATATAACATAATGCTGGAGGTTGATAAGACAACAGTTTTATTGAAGGGGCTGCATTTCCCTAGAAAAAAGGAAACTTTAAGATTTACATATCAATTTGACCTGGATAAAATATATATCACAATATTCAAGATGTTGACATAATGACTTTAGCAGCTGTCACATTAGTGGCTCTGGATGAGGGGCCCTTCGTTTCTGAATTTTAAAATATTTTTTTGTCATATTTCTATACTCCTTATATTTTTTGTTTATTATTGTGAATCTTTATGTTTTAGTATCCCATTATTCTCTTTTCTTTTCTTTTTTTACGCATTTTTATCTATTCTGTAAACCCATCCAGACCCTCATATTTAGGAGAAAACAGTACTTTCAACAGGATTTAATACATGTACAGCAAGAGATTTAATGATATCATAATAAAAAAGTGTATTCCCCTTTTACAAAGATTTCTGCAATGTTAAGTGGAATGACATGTACTACTGCATGATGCATGGTAGACAGGATTATCTCCCTTTCCATTATTTCCTGTTTGACATTTTGAATAAAACAAATATAATATGAGATTTTTAACAGTTTTGTCCCCCTTTTCTGGGGAAAAATTTGGTTGATTATATAGGGAATCACTGAAGCATGACTGTAGCGGGCCCCCTCCCCCCCCCCCCCCCCTTATAAAAAGTTCTGGATCTGCTACTGAAAAGCTTGACTATTTCAACCAATGGAACAAATCGAATACAACTTATATTCAGGACTTGGTGCAAGCCAATCTTGCCTAATTTTTTTTTTCTTTTTGTCTAGCCTTCGACTTTTGTCATAAAAGCGAGACATAGCGATCCTACATTTCGTTGGCGGTGGTGGCATCCACAAATATTCACTCTGTGGTTAAAGTTTTTGAAATTTTAATAACTTAATTTCTTAAACTATCCTGGATTTCTACCAAACTTGGACAGAAGCTTGTTTACAATCATAAGATGATATCCAAAAGTAAATTTTGTAAAAAAAAAAATCCATTTTTTCTGTATTTTACTTACAGATGGACTTAGTTTTTCTGGCAGGAAACATAACATTCACTCTGTGGTTAAAGTTTTTGAAATTTTGATAACTTTCTTAAACTATCCTGGATTTCTACCAAACTTGGAAAGAAGCTTGTTTATGATCATAAGATAGTATCCAGAAGTAAATTTTGTAAAAAAAAAAATCATTTTTTCAGTATTTTACTTATAAATGGACTTAGTTTTTCTGCCAGTTAACGTTACATTCACTCTGTGGTTAAAGTTTTTAAAATTTTAACAACTTTCTTAAATTATCTTGAATTTGTACCAAACTTGGACAGAAGCTTGTTTCTGATTAAAAGCTAGTATCTAGAAGGAAATTTTGTTAAAATTTTGTTCCATTTTTTCCGTATTTTACTTATAAATGGACTTAGTTTTTCTTCAAGTTAACATTACATACAGTCTGCAGTTTAAGTTTTTAAAACATTTATTAGATTCATAAACTATCCTGGATTTTTACCCAACTTGGACAGAAGCTACTTACAATCCAAAGATAGTATAGAGAGGAATATTTTTGATAATTTTTTTCCTCATTTTTGTTGAGCCTGCGATTAACAGCAAAAGTAGGCTTGACACTGGGTTCCGTGGAACCCTTACAAATTTTTTTTTTTATCTAAAACTGTTTTTAAAAAAATATTTGCCATTGGACATTATGCAAGCAACAACCAATCATTTGTAGATTGGCTTAAGAAATAAAGCATTTCTTAAATTCTATATGTTCTTATTTAGAATTTTGTTTAGTTGTAGTAAAGTTTATGACAACTCTATGTAAAGATGAATGATGTTGACAATTTTTTTATCAGTTGAGTGGTTATATTTTTGTCCTAATTTATTGTTATAGTTTAAATATCATGTAAACTTGATATCTTTTGACACCTACACTTAATAAACTGCAGACCTTTTACAATCTCGAATCAAGTATATTATATTCCTCTTTATAGATGTAATGAAATTGTCTCTTCAGAGTACTTAAATGTTGACAAATTCACTGGGGGGACTATCACGTTTGAAAAAAAATTAGTTATGTGTAGTGTATTAAATATATTGTATGGCTGTCATTAAAAGGAGATCTGGGAAGAAGCCTCAATGAAGCATTGAGAACCCAACAACACCATTTAAAGAGACAATAAAAAAAACAACATTCTTTTCATAAATAATGGGCAATAGGTACATTAGAAAAATCAGTATAAATGCAAGCCGCACTAATGGGCTGAAAAGCATTAATTCATATCATCAGTCATATCATTTTGTGGGAAAGATAAAAAAAAACAAAAAAAAACAATATGTTACTAAGCTTAAGGTTACATTTTGAAATGATTTTACTTACTGTTTAAGAGTGAGTACCCTGAAGTGGTAGGCACATGAGAGGGGTCATGTTGGGATGTCTCCTGTGGATTCATTATTATTCGTGGGACACCAATTTTTGTTGATTTCGTTGGTAATACACAGATGAACCACAAATTTAAATGACACATTTTCTATGTGGTTGTATGCACACTTTGGCAAAACCACGAAATTAAATAGCCATGAAAATGCCAGATTTCCTTAATCCAAGAAAATTGACACCCACAAAAATTAAATGAATCCATAATATAAAAAAAAAAGACACAATGGGTGTTGTTAGGTTCCATCCGCAAAGAAAGTTACTAATAAACTCATCATAGATACCAGGATTGAAATTTTGTATTTGCGCCAGACGCGAACCCACACATTTTTTATTTGGTTTTTGAAAATCCATCAAAGCAAAGGGGTGAGGGGGCACCCTAATACCACTTCAGGGGCTCTCACTATTAAAGGGTAAGTGAAATCATTTTAAAATGTAGTTCTTAAATAAAATGGTGAATTATGAAATAATAGACTATTCTAAAGAATAATTTTATATTGATACCAGGAATAGTAAAAAATGTGTAGAAACATTATTTTATCGGTGCTTTGCTATTGCGCCAATTGGCATTTCATATGTGCCAAAAAAATCTTTTATTTGCGCCACAAACCATATTTCATTTGCGCCAATGATACAGGTAAATACAGGTAAATAGTATAAAAAATTGTTTTATTCAAAAGAGACTTTTAATAATAACTTTCAAAACACAGTTCAAATTCATCCCAAATCAATCATCATAACCATAATGAAACCGGGTGCGAGAATTTCTCGCTGCATTGAAGACCTGTTGGTGACCTTCTGCTGTTGTCTGTTCTATGGTCAATCTCTTTGACACATTCCCCATTTCCATTCTCAATTTTACTCTATACACTGATATATTACTAAAAAGAGACTTTTCATATTAATAATGTTAAAACACAGTTCTGTTATAAATTAATGTGATCATAAAACCTAATAGAAAGCACTATACAGTAAAAGTGGAGTAAAACCAAAAGTTTGTTCTGACACAACACTTGTAAGCAACATGAAAAATATGGAACAATTCAATTGAAAAAACTAACGTTCTGTTTGTCTCAGAATTAACAATATCCATCTTGACACCTCAAATATGTGAACACGATATAATTTTAAACCTTAGTGACTCTCAGTTTTATATTAGAAATGAGTGTGAAATCACTTAGTTACCCAAGGGGGATTACTCTGAAAAAAATCTTATTCACGATATAGCAATGCATATTTTAACTTTTCCGTTATACGTTACCTGTAAAATGGCGCAAATTCAATTTTTTATTTTTGGCGCAAATAAAATATAACCTTGTGGCGCAATTGAAAGATTGGATTTTTAAAAAATTGGTGCAAATGCAATGCGCTCTATTTTATATATAATTTTGTAAGTCGCAACTATTAAATTCAGGATATAGTTAGTTGCTGATCTTTCATGGTGATTTACATATTTATTTTTTTAAAGGATAAATCTCATTTTGAGTTTAGATTAGTTCAAGTTTGCATTTTTTCACAGATATCTGAAAGATGTCAAACTATATGTTATGAATCACTAAACGTGTTTATTGTTGTAAAAACTCATTTCTTTATTTTTAATTTATTATTTTACTATGATTTATAGTTTACAAATAAAAACATAATAATTAAAGAATAGAAAAACCTGACACTGTTGATTCTTTATTGAAATCATTATGAATAATTAAATTTAACAGTTCGTTATGACAACACATGAAATTTACATAATCTGATTAGATATGACATTAATTATTAATCTCCATGACATGTGGTTTGATTGACAAGAGTGAAACATGAATAACTGTTGATAATAAGAAAATCTTTATATAAGTAATTAAGATCCTGGTTGAAGAAAGGTTTTAAAAGATGCAGGATATTTATTGAATGTCAAGATCACCTGTCCATATTGTTTTCCTGAAAACACCTCATAAGTACTGTTTAAAAATAGGATGTTTTTTGATAATCTAAGAATAAACATTATCCTCTCCTTGATCAAATTTATAAGATCAGCTGGTGTTTTAAGAAAAATAAAGTTAAGTCTCATTGCTTAAATTTGTCATCTATCAACAAAAGGTTGAGGTTTTGGCTACTAAACCAGAAATAAGACAGTTTTTGGTAGAATAGCTATGCATATATAAGATACACCGTTGAGGGTGTTTGGCTGATTGGGTGTATCTAATTTATTATAGTTAATGTGAAAGCATAGATTTCAGTAGTTTAGGAGGGGGTCTTTGGCAATATGATCTTATTTTATGGTAGAGACTGATAAATGTATATATATCCAATTAAATTTAATGACATTGGTGTCAATTGTCATACCAAGGAGGTTATTTGACCTCCTTGGTCATGCAATCGGCAGTGATCTTTGACCTATACTCACATCTTTTTTTATTCCTGTCAATGATGTATGTGATGATGCCCGTTATTAAGAAGGACTGTGCATACACACATAAAATTATATACTGTAAATTCAGAAACTATTGCGAGGTTTTTATTAATGCGAATAATGCGACTACTTGAGTATCGCAATAATTAGAACTCGCATTTTGATATTAAATACATATATTTGTATGTAGCTTTTCCTAAAATCGCAATAATCACTCGCATTTTTGTTAATTCTTCAAAAATCGCAATAATAAATGCATGCAATAATTTCTGAATTTACAGTATTTATATGTATATACAGGATAGTTAGTGGTAAAATGTGCATTTAAATTGTGTCTGAATATAATACCCAGTGTTGTCTTCGAAGCTGAATTATTTAACCCCTACCAAGTTGGCATACAACATGCTGACTATTAAAATCAGCTTCTCAGATAAAAGTTTAAAGCTGTTGTGATGTTAGAAGGAAATCGTCTGTGAAAACCATACAAATCCTCTTAGTGATAATGATTACATTAATATGTGATCTTCTTCCTCTAAATGTTATATTTAAGCTTTTTTCAATACATCTTTATCAGTAGATTAAATATAATCCATTAGAAGCTTATTTGAACCCCACTCGGAGTCTTACTCTACACATATTAGAACAAAAGACACTTGGAGTCTTACTCTATACATATAATAGAACTAAAGACACAAATATTAAAGCAAAAGATGCTTGAGTCTAACTGTACATTTAAGAAAAAAGACACTCTGAGTCTTACTCTACGCTTATTTGAACAAAAGACACTTGGAGTCTTACTCTACACATACATGTATTAGAACTAAAGACACATATATAAGAACTAACGACACATATTAGAACAAAAGACACTCAAGTCTTACTCTACACATATAAGAAGAAAAGACACTTGGAGTCTTACTCTACAATTATTAGAACAAAAGACACGAGTCTTACTAAACACATGTTAGAACCAAAGACACTTGGAGTCTTACTCTACACACATAGGAACAACAAACGACAAGTGGAGTCTTATTTTACAAATATCAGAACAAATAACACTTGAAACCTTACTCTACACATATTAGACCAAAAGATACTTGAGTCTTGCTCTACACATATTAGAACTAAAGACACTTGAGTCTTACTTTGCACATGTTAGAACCAAAGACACTTGGAGTCTTACTCTACACATATTAGAACATAACATACTTGAAGTCTTACTCTACACATATTAGAACAAAAGACTTTTGAGTCTTACTTTACACTTATCAAAACAAAAAAACATGTGGAGTCTTACTCTACACATTTAGGAACAACAAATGACACGTGGAGTCTTATTTTACACATATCAGAACAAAAGACACTTGAAACCTTACTCTACACATATTAGACCAAGACACTTGAGTCTTGCTCTACACATATTAGAACTAAAGACACTTGAGTCTTGCTCTACACATATTAGAACTAAAGACACTTGGAGTGTTACTCTACACATGTTAGAACTAAAGACACTAGAGTCTTGCTCTACACATATTAGAACTAAAAACACTTGAGTCTTACACTACATATATTAGACTAAAAACACTTGAGTCTTGCTCTACACATATTAGAACAAAAGACACTTGAGTCTTGCTCTACGCATATTAGACCAAAAGACACTTGAGTCTTGCTCTACAGATATTAGACCAAAATACACTTGAGTCTTGCTCTACACATATTAGATCAAAAGACACTTGAGTCTTGCTCTACACATATTAGAACAAAAGACACTTGAGTATTGCTCTACACATATTAGAACTAAAGACACTTGAGTCTTGCTCTACACATATTAGACCAAAAGAGACTTGAGTCTTGCTCTACACATATTAGAACTAAAGACACTTGAGTCTTGCTCTACACATATTATAACTAAAGACGTTTATTGGAACAAAATACAATTGAGTCTTGCTCTACACATATTAGAACAAAAGAAGAGAATCAAAACTCCTGCAAGTCAAACGAAGTGAGATGGATAAAATCATGGCAAAAAACAAAAAAAAAATGAAAAAGGCAACAGTCTACATAACATTACATAAGAAGCTGAAGACTGATCAACACGAACTATGCCAAAAACCAAAGCTACTGTGGATTCATTTATTTTCGTGGGTACCAATTTTCGTGGATTGATGAAAACATGTATTTTCATGGTTTTGCCAAAATCTGAAAAAAACCCTGTAGAAAATTTGCAGTTCGTTGAACATTTAAATTCTTGGTTACCCTATACCAACGAAATCCACGAAAATTGGTTTTCAACAAATAATAATGAATCCACAGTAATTTCAAGTGCTCCTGATCCTGCTCCACATATAGCACCATACGTCTTTCTGTCCATCCTTCTGTCTGTCCCATTTTTGTTTCTGAAATCTAACTTAAGTTTGCCACATGCAAATTTTATGAAACTCATTCACAATGCTAAGAACCACAACACTCAAACAGAGTTTGAATTCGGGCAGTTAGTCATTTACTGTTCTAGAGGTATGCCCCTATATAACTTGGAAAATTGCAAAGCTTGAGCGGAGGCATTCATGTCCTCAGACACATTCTATTATTTTAGTTTGATTTAAAAGATTATACTATATGCAGTTGTAAATGAATATGGATTTTTTCCAGTACTCTTATTACCTTACACCATGCCTCAAAGGCCATGTGAGCTTCTACCATGGCTTGGCATCTGTTGTCTGTTCTCTGTCCATCCAACGTTCTAAACTTTTTTAAAATCTTCTCCTGAAACTATTGTGCCAAATGTTTCTTAGAGAATCTAGTTAAAAAATGGTCTTCGAGGATTTGGTCCATCATCAAACATGGCTGTTGTTGCTAAAATAGAACATAAGGGGTTAAATGCAGCTTTTTGCTATATCCCTAAAACTACAGCAGGTAGAGCAAAACTGACAAAATAACTGGATTACCTAAATGTTGGAGTTACTGCCCTTAAAATTGAAATTTTTATGAAATTTCACAGTTTTTGGCTTATATCTCAAAAACTAAAACAATTGGAGCAAATGTGGCATTGAAATTTTTTTTCTCCACGTCAAGATCTATCTCCTATGGAATTTTCAGAAAAATCTGACATTCAATTTTGGAGTTATTGCCCCTTAAATGTAATTTTTTTGGAAATTGCAAAGATTAGGGTTATTAACCTTGAACAAAAAGTAAATCAAGTAAAAATATTGAACTGTAAAAATGACAAGAACAATAAAATCTACAAATAAACCAGCAGATAATTAAAAGAAATTAACCCTTTATAGGAGTTATTGCCCTTGAATGATGTTTTTTTTTTTATCATTTTTTGCAAAAACTATAGTAGATAGAGAGAATCTTTCATATAAAAAAATGTTCACCAAAGTAAGATTTACAAATAAGTTAACATAGATGAAATTATCAATTGACTCCTTTAAGAGATATATAGCCCTTTCAAGATGTTATTTACCTATTTTAGCATTATTTGCAGAAACTCTTGATAAATAGAAATTGTTTTAAGCAAAAATGTAATAAAAAGTTAAGATCTGCAATTAAGTCAACGTAGCTGAAATTTTCAATTGAACCCTTATAGGCATTATTGCCCATGAGAGATGATTTTTACCCATTTTTGCAGAAACCACGATAGTTGGAGAGAACAGCAAAAATTATCAGCAAGACAAGATCTACAAATAAGTTAACTTGGCCAAAGTCTTTAGACGACTCCTTATAGGATTTATTGCCCTTAAGATATGATTATTATCAATTTTTGCACTTTTTCTTTTGTCTTTAAACCTAGCTATAGTAGATAGAAAGAAACCTTCAATAGCAAAAATTATCAGCAAGACAAGATCTACAAAAAATCAAACATGGTAAAAAAACTCCAATTTTTGTCTGTGTGTGACAGAAGTTGCAGAATGTGAGACATAGGGATTACAATACGGCGGCAAGGACAGCGTAAACGTTTTGTATAAAATTTATATTTCAGAAGGTAGATGACCTGGATGCTTCATATCTTGTATGCAGATACCTTATGTAACCAAGTTTATGTATGTCATATGTCCATTGTCCTTGACCTCATTTTCATGGTTTAGTGACTGCTTGAAAAAAACGAAGTTTTTTTTTCTCATGTGAAATACTCATTTATTATGAGTAATAGGATAGCTATATTTGGATATGGGTTCCTTGCAAGGTCTAGACATGCCTGTTAGATAGGGTTCAACTGACCTCAACCTCATATAATGAATCAGTAATCAAGTTTAAGTGGCCATGTCAATATTTCCGATGCTATAAGCAATAGGTCGACTATATATGGTGTATTGATTGTGATGTGTACATGTCTGACTGGCAGATTTCATCTGACCTTGACCTCATTTTCATTGATCATTCGACAATGTTCAGTTTTTCTGTCTGGCATGGTTCATGACCTTGACCTCATTTTTATATGACCGCAAAAAAATTCTGTGGTCATATATTGGCATCACGTTGTCCTTGTCGTCGTCTGAAGACAGTTGGTTTCCAGACAATAACTTTAGTATAAGTAAATAGAAATCTATGAAATTTAAATACAAGGTTTATAACCACAAAAGGAAGGTTGGGATTGATTTTTGGGGTTATGGTCCTAACAGTTTAGGAATAAGGGGCCAAAAAGAGGCCCCAAAAGGCATTTTTCTAGTTTCCAGACATAACTTGTGTTTAAGTGTATGGATCTCTCTGAAATTATACCACAAGTTTCCTTACCACAAAGGGATGGTTAGGATTGGCTTTGGGGGTTATGGCTCAAACCGTTTAGGAATTAGGGGCAAAAAAGGGGAAAAAACAAGGGTTTCCTGGTTAATAGACAATTTAAAAGCAGTGTAAGGGAGGTAATCCAAAAACATAATTGTACAATGTTGGATTACCCCCCTTACACTGCTTTTAAATTATCTATTTAAGTCTTTTATGATGTATTTTAATGGGTAATTGTGGTTGCAAACTCCATTGGAAATTTAAATTTAAAATTATGACCATATCTTGAAGGAAAGAATTTTCTTTTTTGGAAAGGTGGGGGGGGGAAGGGGTAAAAAAGAAATTGGCGGTGGGGGGCAATTTTTTTTTTATTTCAGATTTCAGAAATTAAACAAAATTTCTTCACATATTTTGGGATTTTTTTGGGGGGGTTGGGGGGTTTTAATACGCAACAGTGTCATAGTGTACACAAAAGCAAACAAAAAAGGGGGTTAATTTTTATTTTTATTTTTTTGGGGGGGGAGGGGGGATGTCAATTCGCACAGGCACAGTGTATTGCACAAAAGCAAAAAATTGAATATAAATTCAAATCATATAACCAATTCTAAGTTCTTTGACTACAGTTATTCTGTGTCAGAAACCTATTATGTGTCAAATATTTA